TAAAATAAAAAAATTAAAACACAAAAAAAATAAAAATAAAAAATAAAAGCCATTTCCTCCCTGAAAAGTAACTCAAGCACACCACTCCACCAACCAGCCAAAACGATCTCTGCAGCCCACACTTTCTATTAATTTATTTAAGTGGCATTTCCTAATAGTTCAGAAGCTGCCCTCTGAGATCTGTACGTGACCTAATCTGTGTTTCTCCAGCCTGTGCCACTCAGGCACTGCGCCTCATCTGGACCTACTGCTCCACAAGGATACGAAAGGCCTGTCCTTGGTGTTGTAACCAACAAGGGCAAACTGCTGTGATAGGTCAAGGAATTTATTCAAGTAAGTTTTTTAAATGAAAAGAGAACTAAAATTAAAAACCTTGTTAGGCAAGAGATTAAAAGTTTCTGGGAGGCTGGGGGTGCGGTTCAGTAGTAGAGCACTTATCTAGTACATACATAGCCCTTGGTTCCATTCTCAGCACAGCAAAAATAAACTTAAACTACTTAAAAATACTGTTCAGATAAATTTCTTAATGTTCCACGCCACTGTACATGCATAGGAAAGGGTGCAGAAAACAAAAGATCTCAAACCAAATAAGTCCTTAAAATAAAAATCTATGTTTAGTAAGAAAGATTCAACTGATTAAAAAATCAATAGGCGTTTTAAAAAGCATTATCATCCTTGTTCAATCTTACTGTAATATAACAGGCCACCCTCTACTCTTAGTCTGTTTCAGGACTGTTATTATCTATCTACAAATAGAAGGAAAAGTGCATGAGCTGAGACTAACAGAACACAGTAAGCTATGAAACAACACAGTAAACTATGAAACATTACATAAAGTGCATTGGCAAAGAAAGAAAGAAAGAAAGAAAGAAAGAAAGAAAGAAAGAAAGAAAGAAAAAGAGAAGGAAGGAGGGAGGGGAGAGAAGAAGGAAGGGAAGAAGGGAGGGAGGGAGGAAGGAGGAGAGGAAGGAGAAGGGGAAGGAAGAAAGCGAGCTCTTGACAAAACCAGAATGCAGTGGCACTTTTGATGCTGCTGCTTCGTGCTGCAGGGGTGTGGTGGATGAACAGACTCAGGGAGTTGGTCTTATTCAGTCCTGCAGTGTTCCCGCTCACACCCCTGGGGAACTCTGTAGTCAAACACCCAGGTCCAGCTGAGCTCTGACTCCACTTTTCCACAAAGAACTGTCTGTCTAACTTGTCTCCCACCGGCACCTAAGAGCTGGCCTTGGTCCACACGCACTCAAACTGCTTCAGTCCCACCTGCTCAGCACCGCACTCAAACTGCTTCAGTCCCACCTGCTCAGCACCGCACCTCTGTCCCCGGAGCCCTAGGGGTCCAAACGGCATAGCTACAGGAAATGGCGTGACCTACACAGCTCTGCGCCCAGGGTGGGTGGAACAGAGAGCACGAAGTGGCTTCCTCAGTGTCCTGAGGGAGACTGTTCAAAAGAAAGATGCCCCTAAAAGGGCAGGGTTTTGTGGTCAAATAAATCTGGAAAACACCGTACTCTAAATCTTCCTGGGGGAGTTTCACAGTGCACACTGGCATCTTACAGGTGATGAAAAGACCTGCAATGAACAACGCCATTATACTTTAAAGCAAACCCCAAATTTACCTGACCTGATCCTTCTTTCCCATAACACCTTTTCATGTGAATTTAATGTGGGAAATGCTTGAAACTACTTTACCTTAAAGCCAGGCAGCTTCACGCCTAGTTACAAGGTGGCCCTTGGCTTCTCCCCAAGTCCCTGGCTCAGCAAAGGGCCAACAAGAAAGTTAAATCAGGAATGGAAGGTTTCAATTTTCTAACAACCTAACTGTAAATGACTTGCATGTTTTACCTCAATATATGAAAACACGTATTTTTGAAACCAACATAGAAAGGAACTATTTTTAAGGCCCAATTATAATGGTCCACAACAGCATATTTTTCTTTTTTGTTTTTTTGGTGTCGGGAATTGAACTCAGGACCTTGCGCTTAACAGGCAGTTGCTTGTGCCACTAAGCTATATCTCCAGTCCCAACAGCATATTTTTCATGAAAATAAAGTCTCACAACCCGATTTTATCATGTACGTGTAAGTTGAAGCAGAGAACAAAATAATTACACAAACATTTCAAATCAACTTCCCTTTTCACAGTGATATCATTTTGCCTATTCATTTTTAGAAAATTCAAGCTCCTTGACATTGAAAGTAGAATCTCAATAAAATGAAAAGATGGGCACCTAAGGCATCTGAAAAGTTACCCTTACTCTACACTGTCTAAAAATACTGTATTAATAAACTGAGCCTTTAGAAAGATACAACATTGAATCTTTAATACCACTAAGGAAACATCTGGAATATTACAAACATAGTACACTGAAAATTCTCCCAATATCTGAGAATTAATATACCCACACTCCTAGGTGTCCAATGCACTAAATTTGATGTTTTTTTGTTTTTTGGTTTTTGTTTTTCTTCTGGTACAGGGAATCGAACTCATGACCTTATGCTTGCCAGGCAGGCACCATGCCGCTGAGCTAAATCCCCAGCCCTTCCAACGCACTATAAAAGAATATTCAGGTTGGCAAGTGCAAGGTCGTGAGTTCGATTCCTGGTACCGGGGGAAGAAAACAACAACAACAACAAAGAATATTCAGGTACTAAGTATTACAAGAACATGTATCAGAAACTCTTAAAACTCAGCTTGCTTGGACATAAAACATCTAAAATAAAATTCACAAATTTCCTTTTTTATCTCAAGCACCTCCAGTGATTCAACTGAAATCTGTTCACATTTAAGAAAGGGAACTATCACAGGCCTGATCGATAGTTCACATTATCTTCTTTTTTTAAACTTAGCACTTTAAGACCCATTCTAACTCATAAAAGGATCAATTTAAATTTAAATTTAAACATCAGTGCTTATTTCATTTTTTAAAATTAAAAACATAAATAGGCAAAACTTCACTTCCCAGAATACAGTTGATAAATATGCTACAGGGAAACACAAAATCTGAATCAAAGAAAACATTTTCCACAATTCCCTCCTCCTGTCATCTGGGGATGAGTATCTAGTCATGAGCTTGCTTAACACTTCGATGTCAGACTGAACTTTCTTTCACTTCACTCATTCCATCTCAGGTTAGCGGACACAATGATCATTTTGCAAGTGGCCCTCGCGGCCGGCCTTACCAGTGTAGATGCTGGCACTGGAAGCTGGGGTACCAAACTGTGATTCGATGAACTTGGGGATGAAGGTAATGAAAGCAGTTACAATGGCACTCTCGGCTGTGTATGACAAACTCACAAAAAGGAATGTCATGTTGCTTAAGATCCTGACAGCTGCTCTTGGTAGGTCTACAAAATGACAAGAATGACAAATGAATGTTATAAACAATGGATGGGAGACAAAATAAAACTGAATTGCTTCTGAAATGAACTGGAAATAGCCATACACCAATATATGCCACAAAAGAATAAAAACAGAAAAGACCTGATGACGATTAGAAACCACTCGCTGTGTCAAACAGGTTTGGATTTGGTTTGATTTTTAAACGTTCAACCAGAATAAGGAAATAATACATCTAAAAGCATAACCATGCAAAATGTCCTTACAAACAGTAGCCAACCTAGGGCTCCTGTTTCAAAAACCATTTAAAATAAATCCTCTGCATTTTTCAGTGATTAGAACACCTTTTCTGTTGAGTCTATTACATGTGTGAAGTACCTACAAGGCAATCCTCAGCTACATATTCTGTTGAACACGTGATTTTCCAGCCTCATTTATGAAACAGGAATAATCATAGCTACAGAAGCTAAAAGGGATGGGACCATCTAGTCAGAGTGTCCACGGGGTCTTCAGCTGGGCAGCGTAGAGCCACCATCTCCAAAGGAGAGAAGCCAGAGGCGGGCCCGACACCTGCTGGGCTCCTCAAGAGAGAAAGAAAGGTCCTCACCCCTGACTTCAGTATTTATTTCACAGCACTTGCCTCCAATATATGTGTGATTATTTTCACTGCAGCAGTGTATAAAAGAGTAAAAATGGGCAGAGGCAATATAAATGTCCGTCAGCGTGAAGTGTTCAGATACTGTATGGCGTAGCTGTATAATGGAAGGCTGCAGAAGTTAAAAAACAGAAAAGAGCTGCATATATCAGCATAAGACAACTCCAAGAAATGTTTTTAGTACTGAATAAAGCAAGCTGCAAAAACATATATGTGTATGTAATCAGACTTAAGTAAAAATCAAACAAATTTAAACAATGTGTGGTCAAATGTATGCTTCTCAATACACATAATACCAAACTTTTAAAGGCTCATATTCTGTGAACAAAATTAAGATTTGGAAAAAGAAGAATAAAAGGAGCTTCTTTTATACGGACTTTTGTAAATTTTTTTCGCATCTTTATGATATGAAATAATGCACATTTATGTGATCTTTCCACACCTTTGTGGAGAAGGTAAGATACATTATTTTGGCAATAGTCATCTCAGCAAACAGTTATCTCCTCATGCTCTAACAGAATAATGTGATTTCATTAAAATTAACCAGCAAAACCAGGCGTGGTGGTACATGCCTATAATCCCAGCACTCAGGAGTCTAAGGCAGGAGGATCATTGCGAATTTGAGACCAGCCTGGGCTGCAAAGTGAGCTCAAGGCCAGACTGAACTGCATAGTGAGACCCTGTCTCAAAAAGACCAAAAAAAAATATATATATATATGTATATATATATATATATACACACAAAAATAACTAACAACTTTTATTAAAATTATAATTCATAGCCTCCTATCTACCAGAATCAAAAACATGGAAAGTAAAGATTATCTGCCATTATCATTTTAAAATTTAAATTAAATTTAGTGTTCATTATCATAATTCAATTTTTAAAGTTTAAATTAACATTTTTAAACAAATTTAATCTGCACCATGATTTCTTAACATTGATAAACATATGTAATCAAAGCACTCCTTAAAACTGTCCAATTTTTTTTGATAAAATAAACTGTCATATCCAAAATTTTAAAACTGCTCCTGAGTAACCACTTTGAAGATATCAATATGTAATACAGCAACCATTGTTAATTTCCTGTCACCTTGTCTGTAATTCAGTATTGCTTGTATTGTTCTTGTGCCATTTTGTAAATGGATGTCTGTTTGTTAATATGTTTTCATTCTTTTATTTTTAAAATAAAAAATTAAAAATTTTAAAATTGGAAAAGTTAAGATTATTTATCAACATTTAAAGATTCAAACTGTTACATTTGTATATTAAAGGCCAGTGTGTTGAATCTAACTCATCTGAGAGAAATAGAAAATCATTTTAATACACAAAGACAATGTATGTATCACATGAATATTTTAAATGGTATCAGTTATACCACAGTGTTTTTTCTTTTAGATCTAGCTAGTGTTGGTATCATAAAATAGCCTTCTAGTTTCAAAGGTACCTAAAAATGTAGTTGATGGTTCTCTCTTTCATTTAAAAAATAAAAGTATGCTACTGTTAATAAGAATTTACTGAAGTCCAAACTTTCAAAACCTCTACATGAGCTTTGTTCTTCCTTCTGCCTGTGTATCCCCTTCACTAACTGGGACAGCAGGAGCCGAGGGCCAGAGGACCCAAGGCTGCACATGTAACCAGCGGAGCGAGGGGTTATATGGAAGACAGGGGCATAAGCTAAAAAGCACAGAATCAAGGAGTCCACTTTGTAACTGCTACAGAAGGGAGCGGCAATACTGAAAGAGGGACAGTTAGATACCAGGTTGGACCTGGAAGTATTGGTCTGAACCAGTTAGGTAGAGAGACAGACTGGATAATGATAGATGGGTAGAATGGCTTGACAGGTGATAAGGTAAGACTGATACCTAGGACAGATGGGCACGTGATGTAGATGTGGTGGGGGTGGGGCATTATTTCCTGGTTCTGTTTGCTAGCGGGGCTTAGAAGTAAAGACACTTTGGTAGAAATGAGCTCCCCTAGCACCCAGTTCTTGGTTTCTAAAAGCCATTTCCCACTAAAAGAAACCAGAAAAACGTCTAACTTCAGAGCTGGGGCAGACCACATCCAAGAGGAGCTTGGAAAACCTTGTTGAACGGGAAAGTAAAGAAATGCTCACAGAAAGGCATCTTGAAGGATTCCCAAAGGACGATCTGGGGCAATCTGAGCTCAACGGCTACAAAAACTGGCAAGTGAAACCCTAACAGGAACAAGGTACAGTTGATCCTCATTATTTGTAAATTTCCCATTTGAGAATTCATCTACTTGGTAAAACTTATTTGTAACCAAAATGAAAGCTCGAACAGCCCTGCAGCCATGCTCAGAGCAGCGAAGGTTTCAATCATCCGACTCGTCCACTCCCCGCTGAGGCAGAACCAGGTGATGCCGTGTCTTCTCGCTTCCGCTCCCATATGGTGAGGCCCCTTTCACAACACACTGTCACCTTCTCCTCGTTGTTGCTTTGGGCTGGTGGCTCTGCTTTCTTAAATGGCCCCCAAGTTAGCGCTGCAGCACTGTCTGGAGTCCCTGAGCACAGGTGGCTGATGAACTTACAGAGAAACTACACATTACAGGAGCTTCCTTCAGGAAGGCATTACAGAACTGTTGGTGGTGATCACAGTGCTAATGAATCAACAATATATACACAGAAACGTGGGCCGGTGGGCTGACGATTACCTTATAACAGGAATACACCCCCCACCTCCCCTAGAGTGAAGCGCCAGTATCCACTAATTCCGTGCTCAAGGTGACGCTATAGAATATAAGTGCCAGGAAGAATAATAAGAACTGACTGCATTTACACCGCCTTAAAGTATCTCCCCACACAGAACTCATAAGTACTGATCGATTTATATTTACATAACACATACTACCTTCAGCACACAGCATTCCAGCAAATGCAACCTTCCCCAGTGCTCAAAGTTCATATAACCGATTGTAGGACACCCGCCTCTGTTATGATGTACTTTTGAACGGCAGGCCTGCAAAAGTTCATAAAGCAGGAGATGACATCAATCCCAAGCTGAGGAACATTCTACAAAGTCAATTGGTAAAGATCAAGGTCATGAAGGACAAAGAAAGAAGAGGAACTGATCCAGCTCGAAGGAAACTAAGACACAAAAACTAAAGCTCTGGACCCTAGATTGGATCTGAGACATAAAGAGCATTACTGAGGTAACTGGCAAAATTGAACACCGCCTACAGTTTACATGGTAGCACTGGCTTAGTGTTAACTGTCCACTTTAATAGGTGCCCCGCAGTCCTGTGAAGGAGGGTCCTCGAACTCAGGAAGCGTCCACTGAAGTCTTAGGAGCAACATGCCTGAGACTTCCCAGAAATGTTAATGGTTGAAAAATCATTACAGAATAAAGGGTAACTGGCTTTCTGTGTGATATTCTGCAACATTTCTGTAAATTCAAAATGACTCCAAAACAATAAACTTCAAAAATGATTAAGCTGGCAAAGAAGTTACTAAATCCACAGATTTGCAACAAAACACCTGCTTTTTATGCTGAAGAATATATGTGAGATCGGTTCGTTGGTGTCATAACTGTGTCTTTATACAATCAAAGTGATTTAAAAGCATGGTGAAGGAGAGATGATGAAATAACGATAGTGATTTTCATTTTTGATCATTTAATGCTAAGAAATCTTATAAATTCAATGATAAGGGCAAACTGACACTAAAACCAGGAAATGCCTTAACTGGTAGTAAAGCAGGAGTAAAATTCAATACAAAGCACCACAGTCCCAGAGGATATAATATAAAGTGGGCTATACGTGGAAATCAGTTTAAAAAGAAATGTTATACCAGTGGCAGATCTTCTGCTCCCTGCGCACGACAGAAGTCACAGAGCAAGGCAGCCTCACCATCCCGCGCAGCTAGGCCAGGTGCTAAACCGCACCCTAATCTCAACAGGGCCATGCTGAGATAAATTCGATGCTGTCCTTTCCAATAACCCTGCAAGCCTTTGGTCCAAGTTTCAGAAAATCTGCACTGCAGGGAGTGAGTGATTTGTAGGAAGCTGGTAAGAGACAGTGTTCACGAGAAACTGGCTCAGTCTCGGTGAGAAAGAGACCGAAATGCATTGTTCTCCAAAGCCTAAGAGGTCACAGCACCATAGAAGGCGGCAGACAGTGAGCAAACATTCTCAGGCACATGTGAACGTTTCATGTTCACTCATAAAATAAGTCTACAACGTAAGATGGAAGCAAAGCCTTCCATGAGCCTGGATTCCAGCAACCCTGAGATGCAATCTTTCCAAGCGGGCAGAGGAAGGAACTTAACAGGAAGTAATGCAGCTTAGGAGAAAAGGTGTCCCAGTGCAGGCGATGCAGAAAGACCCCTCTCCTGG